AAAAATTCACGTGCCATCTGAGTCATTTCTCTTAAACACCAACTTTTGAATAATTACATTATCAAATTTATTATTTTGAATTTTTTGACATATTAACTCTTTTGTCTAAAAACCTTAAGTGAAATTCCTTGGTTATTATTAGCGGCCAAAATTTTAGTGCCAAAATGTATAATAAAATGAAAATGCCAGTGGTGCCTGAAAGCAACAAGACACATGCATGCTGAACATTTCTTGAACTTAACCGAAATCTAAAAACTAACATTTGAATGAACTAACATGTGAATGAACTAACATTTGAGTGATATCTGGAAGAACTGTGCATTGTATATGCGTACTATTTTCACTTAACAGCCCTTCACAGGCGTGGGGATCCACCTGATGCCAGGTGTGTGCACACAGATGGGAATTACCATGACAAGAATAATTTTAACACCTTATTCTCAGGTGAATGTAAACATCTTTGTTTGCATATATGACTTTTCATCATCAAATATATTGAGCCAAGAATATAAAAGTCTCAGGATGGAAAGATAATTTTAGTATTATTTCACTTTTAGAAAAAAATGAAAATGGTTTATTTTGATGTGAACAAAACAAAGATTAATGATCCATATTTTTCAACTTGATTTCCAACAGCCTCAGATTATTGTTAAAGTATCTATGTGTAAATGTGAAATACTTGATAGGATTAGGGTTTGGATGTTTGCACTGATCAGTTTTTGTGTATTACTTAACAGAACTCTGCACCCAACCATCCACATAAGTTTTACTCCAGATTAATGTTACTATCTAACAATAACACACTGAAAAAGTAAATATATTATAGATATCACTCGACAGTTCCACAGTATCATAACCTAGCAAAAAATGTCACAATTACGTAGTAAAAATAATTTAAAAACACAATCGGTTTTAATAAAATCTGAACATTACCAATCAAAAATGCATTTAATTTGATCTATTATATTGGAACTATCTTTGAATATCACTTTGGATAGTGAGACAAAACAAGTATACTCATGAAGACAGCTTGAGAGTCAACGAGACTTAGCAATGTCAATTCTTTTTTTTTTCTTCTCTTGGCAGATTTACATCCAATCCGTTGTATTAATGCCCTCTTCATGACAGTTTGGCAAAAACATTTCAATAATTAGTAGATGGGAGAGATCACTCAGAGTGACTGAGAGTGCCTGTAGTTGTCAGTCGTGTATTCTAGTAACACTCAAACTAGGCTTATTCCATTAATTTTTTTAACATTAAACATTTAATATATCTCTTTCAAAACAAAACAAAATAAAAATCACCAGAAAAGTAAATTCACCTATTCATAACTTATAATTGAATGCTGGAGTTGGAAAAACAGATTAAAATCAAAGTGCACTGGTGTGCACTACAAACTTGCTCTTTCTCCTGCCAGTAGCTCATAGGGAAACACAGCTGAGATGCCTCAGCAAGTACTAAAAAAACATGTACTCATTCTCATAATCAGTCTGGAAAAAAATGGTATTGATTTGTATTTAATGTTTCAAAATAAAACAAACGTTTCATTCATTTCAGCTCATTTGAACAATTCATTTATTGTCACTTTATGTGGTAAATTGATGTTATGGATATAATTGATATTGATATAATTGATATGTAATTGATTTTGTCACTTTATGTGGTCAATTGATGTTAGTGTTAAGATCATAATTTTATGACTTATTAATAGTATTATTTGCATTTTCATTCATTGATCATGACACTACTTTTAATGTTCAACAATGCAGTTGCTTAAACAGTGGTTCTTGTAGCAACTGCATATCATCTGAGGGCACTAAGAATCATTTCATACAGGAACAAGTTTGTAATTATGTCTTGTAGATATATAAAGCACTAATGCAGGCCGAGAACTTAATTTAATAGAAAATAATCACAATTTTAGAAAATGAAAGAAAACAGAAAATAAAAGCAATACTTGCAATTTCAATATTGCTTGGAAACTAGCAATTAGATATATTACCGAAATCGTTCAACCCTACTGCTAATCAAAAAATTGTTTTGTTTAAAGTTTTGTTTAATTTATACTAAGTATTGATATAAATAGGACTAAACTAATTGAACCAAATATAGCTATTATAAAAGATGCACTATACATGAAATATTTTGTTTCTATATCCTCAGAAAAGAGCACCAGTATACATTTGGGTGATTTCATGATTGCTGTGCCATTTAGCTTGTAACTCTTAAAAATTAATGTTAATGTTAAAATCTTTTTCTACCATTATACAACAGAATCTGTATGAAATATAGATAGTTATCTATGTAGACAGGCTATAGATAGTTATCAATGGTTTAAGGTATTTGTTTAAAACATGTACAAAGATTGTTGTGTAGGACACTTTGCCCATTTAAAAAAAAATGCCCTTTACCTTTTTCGCAAATGTGTTAACAGTGGGGCACAAATGGCACCCCAACTATAGAGTCACCCAGTTATTTAAGAGCAAGATAACAGCAGCAATCAATGCATGATTTTCTGAGATGTTTTAGTCTACTAAAAAAACCTACAGAAACAAATAATTTCAAGATGGAAAAAGAAAAAAATGGTAAGTCATAGATGCAAACATCATGCATAGTGATGAACTGCGAAACAGTGACACCATAATAAGGATGGCAATGCTAGATGTTAAATCAAGTATTTTCTTGGTGTTTAAGGCTCAAGGTTTGTGCTGATTTTATTATGCAACACAGTCACACACATGCACTATGGCAACACACATGCCACACATTTTTAAACTGACAAAAATTGTGAGCCTTGTGTATCTGGCTTTTCAGTTAGACAACTAGCAGACAGAAGCTGTACTCTGCATTGCTGTCTCTCTCCTAATCTGACGCTAAAGCAACTGAGCCAAGAAACCACTACAGGCTGTCACAAGCATTAAAGCAAAGAGCAGAAGAGAGAGAGAGTCTTTGGGGGATCTACTCCCCAGCATGCACCAGCCAAATCTTGCAATTGTAACAGTAGAAACCCTACAAGATTCCCTTCATTCTCTCCCTCTCCCTCCCCCTCCACCCTCTCTCGCTCTCTCTCTCTCTCTCTCTCTCTCTCTCTCGCATGAGATCTCTCAAGTGTCAATAAATGGACTTAATGAAGAGAGAGTCAGAAAATGTTGTTACATCAGTGGAAAAGCCTTCAAACAACCTTACTGTTTTCCTGAAGCTGAAACAAATCCCAAACTACAAATGTAGCGAGACATTGTACAATCTCACGCAAGGAAAGCCGTCAACAATTCAATACCAAAAATGTGAAAACACAAAGTAGAAAGGAGGATCAGAAAGTAAACAAGCCTATATCTTATGGTAATTCCTGGAGTTAATCATTCATTAATTTTGCATGCACTCATAAAGTACACACATTTTCATACTATTGAACTAAAAACTCTTGAACAGTGGCAAGGGTTTTAGGGTTCTGCTTGAATGTGAATTGTTCATCTGAAATGAAAACCTGCAGTGAATGATCCTATTTTCTCTTAGAGAGAGTACTCAGAGAGAGGAAAAAAGAGGAGGGAAGAAGTAAGTACAAGAAATTAAGAGAAGGAGACTGAAATAAAAGGATCAGTAATGGTAGAAAGAGAGGTAAAAAGCCTTATGGAGCAAACATCATGGTACCAAGATAGTAAATCCACCTAGGTTTCCTCTGGGTTCTCCAGTTTCCTCCCACTTGCCAAAAACCATGCAGTTTGGCGGATTGGCTACACCAAAGTGGCCCTTTTTGTGAATGAATGTATGCATGGTGCCCTGTGTCCCATCCAGGGTGTAATCCTGCCTCATGCCTAGTGTTCCTGGGATTTGTCTGGCTAAACCACTGAAGATCAATGAATGAATGGATGGATGAACGAATGAATGAATGAATGAATGAATGTTTTGTTCAAGTAAGGTTTTGGCCTGGATATGTGAGCATGTTGACATTTTCTGCACATAATGGCAGCAATGATGAAAAAGTAATCATGAGACTGATGGGGAAAATGGGTTACCATCAACTTGAATTTTAGCACTTGTAACTTTAACATATCCTAAATATGCATACACAGCTGATTTAAGAATATAGTTTCACAAATGTATAGTGTATAAAAAGTAAATCGTTTCATCATGGTCACCAGACTCCACCTTTTTTGCTATTAACATTACTAATAACTAAGATTATCACAGGAAAGCCATTTTTGCCATAGTTAAGGTACCTACATACCCACTCACCTACCTGCCCACCTACCCATCTACTTACTTACCTACCTACTAACCAACCAAGCAGACATAGTTTTCTTTGGGGATTAATACTCAGACACATATACGACCCAGATAGACCAGTGGTCGACTGATATGGGTTTTTCAGTGCCTGATACCGATGTAGGCCAATGACTGATATGATGTAGATCCCCCTCCCCCCAAGAACATTAAATGTGACTATAAACAGTTAAAAAGGGCAATCTGTCATTCTTTAACAAATAAAAAATAGTAATCATTGCCAAATCACTGTGGTATAAGCGGAATAACACACTTCAGACCATGCTGCTATATGAATATAATCTATTTTGGGGTGGCAAAGGCCCTCTGTAGATTATTTTCATATAACACCATGGTGCATGTTACTTGAAGTTCTAAATATTTTCTTTCAAACAGTTAGTTCAAATATTACTAGTTCTATTCCACCTATCTTAACTACCATGGGAAGGTATGTTACACCTTGGATACATGTGCACATGTGCAAATGATGAAAATCTATGACACTACACTGTAAAAAACTGACTGTAAAAACAAGGTTGCCAATAAAGTACTGTAAACTTTTCTTTTACAATAACCAACTGTAAACATATTTACAGTTATATTTAGAATTGTAATATCTTACAAAGTATAAAATATCACATTTGTACATTTGCCTGATGCTATTTTTTAAACAACTTACAATTAATGCAGGATACAACTGAGCTGGAGGTTAAGGGTTCAAGGACCCAACCATGGCAGTTTGGCATTGCTGGGATTTGAACCCAGAGCTTTTAATCTGTAATGCAAAGCCTTAACCACTGAGCCACTACAACTATCCCAACTTGCTTACATTGATTCAACCACTTCTACCACTGAATTAACTTGCACTAAAAGATTGCATTAAATCAGTGCAAGTTAGTTGTACTGATTGTGGTGGTTCAGTGGTTAAGGCCTTGAATTACACAACAGAAGGTTGTGTGTTCAAATCCCAGCAATGCCAAACTGCTATGATGGTGCCCTTGAGCCCCTTAACCTTCAGCTCAGCTGTATCCTGCCTCAAATTAATGTTGCTTTTTTTTTTTTTTTTTTAAAAAGCATCAGCCAAATGAGCAGATATACTGGATTATGTCTTATCTTATACTATGTAAGATATTACAGTACTGTAAAATATGTTTACAGTTGTTTACTGTAATTTTTTACAGTACTTTATTGGCCACCCTGTTGCCAGTAAAATACTGTAAAATTTACATTAATTTTTTTTACTGTGCATGTCATGTGGTGACCCAATTAAAAAAGCCATCAGCTACTAGTCCCTTTACTTCTTCTCTCCACATACACATCAAGTGTTTTGAAGCTATCTGCGTAAGGGCTTGTGAATATGGTCAGCGCTGAACTTGTCCTCCAAAGCTGCTTTGTAGTAGCTTCAGCTAGCTATGCATTAGCTGCATGCTAACTTGTGTTAGCTTTGTGTTAACTTCAGATAGCATTCGGCTACGAGTCAATTTAGTGGCACTAACCTTGTGATCCCAGTGCGAGGAAATGATCTGGCACCCTGAGCTGGAAAGTCTGCACCTTTGCGTATGGCCCCTCAGAGGAAGTTAGAGGCCATAGATAACGACCCATCAGTATAGGAAACGCTAGTAAATGCAAGAGCCCCTAGTACACAAGCCTTCCACTCAAGTGGAAACTGTTCCATGAGTAGTGTGCACTTTGTCAGACAGACCTTGTGTGCTGCCCAGTGCCAAAGGTTTTAACCTTCCTGCAGGAACTGCTAGACAAAGGAAATGTACATAGCAGCCATTGCTGTGCATAGCAGCACTAGAGATGGGGTCTCACTGGGAGCTCATAAGCTGGTTACAACCTGAATGGGGCAAGACATCTTCATTGGTTATGCCCACCCAAAAAGTCCTCATATTTGTGTTGAATTCACTGAAATCCTCCCCTTATGAGTCGTTAGAGGATGTTTCCTCTAAAATGGGTTACCTTGAAGGAGTAACCCTGTGGACAAATCCAGAGTTCCTGGCTAAGGTCTTATCAACCCCTTCTGTGAACTGTCTGGTTACCTTGAGACTATCTCAAAGACCACCTCATGTTACCACATTGGCCTACATGCAGGCTGGGAATCAAGCCCCTGCTGTAACTAGTCACTCCATGAGGAGCATTTCCTTCTCATGGGCAGTAATCAGAGGTGTCTTGTCTTGTTAAGGATAACATAATAAATAATAATGTAGTTATATCTGGTTGTTAGGGTGTAAAATATAGTAAATAAAATGTAAGAAAAATTGGTTTAAAATTAGCAATGTACAATGTACAATAGATCAGAACTCTCACAGTGTGAAGTGCTGCACTATTTGGACATTAACACTGCAATACATCAACAAGAAAAACATTGTAGCCATAATATTTAGGTGTAGATTCTGCAGTAAAAAAAAGAGTGATGAACAGTAATTCATCACACATACACACAGTGACAAACTGCTCAACACCATTTGTCTTACATATTTCCTGCCTGCATTTAACATCTATCAATAGCTTGACATTTAAAACTGTTAGAGTTGAGCAATACATTGTATCCCAAAGTCTCACTAATAATAATAATAATAATAATAATAATAATAATTATTATTACAATACATTTAGCGATGACAGTTACTGACAATGGCATGTAAAAGTCATGGTATTTAAAAGTATATTTTGAGTTTTAAGCTGATTTGGGGGCACCACAGACTGTTTCATTTTAACCCTTTGGTCTAGTGCACATTTTCTCCTTCCACTTTTGACCTTAGGCTTTTCTGTCTGCAAAAATAGACAGTAAACACAAATGCCTCTCAGCAAGCGTGGGGGGTGGTTGTATGGAAAAACCTGAGCGAGAAAGGAATGATAAAGAATGGTATCCGCGCTTGAGTGTTTATTATCCTCAACAGTGAGTAACTCAACAAAGTTATATTATCAGCACCATTTATGAGCACCATCTACTCTTGTTTGGTGAGGTGTATCAGGAAATGTTAGGAAACCTTGAGGCAATTTTGATACATGGCCCATACATATATAACTATGTTTTATATGACTGAGTGGAGGGCCACCAGGTCACCTGGGTCATTTGGATTAAGGAGAATGGAAAGAGGATGGGCATGTAGCAGACACCTTTGGTAGGCTGCCTGCATGAGGTCAGGAGGTGATGACTTTGCTCTTTGTAGTTACCAATAGGTTTTATAGTGGCCAGCCATTTTACTCAAACATTGCAAAATTTCACATAAAAATGGACAATTATTGGGAAAAATTCCTTAGAAAGAGTCCTTAAGAAGGCATTGATGTGAAAGCCTAGTAACTATGATAAAATATCTCCTCTGGCAAATGGAATCATTGGGAGAGAGTGGAAAACAAGTGGGCTAAAAAAAGCTGTGTTTCCGTTTATAAATGGCCACTTAAGCTTGTGGAATCTATTCTTTTGATATACTTTATTTTTCAATGGACTTGAAAATGGTCTGGCCCCAAGACCAAATGCAGTCCACTGACAAATGTTAATTGGTCCGTGGCTTCTCTCTTAGAATGTTGTCAGGAACTGGCAGGAGGAGGCAGATGCAAGTGCAGATAATTTAGTATGTGAAGTACAAATAAGAACAATCAAAACTGTGAAAACATGAACCAAAAACATGAACAGTGTTGTAGTGAACAGCAGTTAAGATGGCATTCCATGGCCCAGTTTAAAACAGGGCCCCTCTCTAACTGCCAGGGTGGAGAAAGGTTTGCCACATTGTGATTGGATCTTAGTGAATGAACATAAAGAAATCCCTGACATCATCAGATATGCTGCTGAGAGGGGAGAGAAGGAGACCCCCACCCACATCCGCATGAGGAAGGACTCCTCATTGGACCACAGGTTGACCCTAACCATTTGTAAGGTTTAGGCCAGCACTGCCATAAAAATTCCTTAGGACCTCTGGATGCAGCAGCAGTGGCTGAAAAAAAGGAAGGCCACAAAGACCCATCCAAATCCATTCATACATATGTTTGGAATCCTTAAAATTGACATAAACTTGCCACATCCACTTCACATTCATGTAAAGAACAGTTTATGTTAATGGAAAATGATTGCTGACAACAGTTTATATGAGCTGACCTATTAACACATAAATGAATGCATGGGTGATAGTTCAACCATTCCTTATCATGTTTGGACTCTACAGATGTGGCCTTTAAGTTTTTTCACGTGGTTTCACGCGATTCATCACACATGATCACGCGGCATCCTGCAGGCATACTTCTTAGAATTTAAATTCATTTGTTGTGCTTCACACAATATCCACCAGGTGGTGCAGGGAACAACACACTGTAGCTCAACACACAGTACATCAAAAAAATGCACTGTGTGGTTGGTTAGATTTAAGAAAAAACATTGCGTATGGTGAAAATATTATAGTTACATGAAAATATTGTTTCTCATCAAAACATGATTTCATTGCTTAGGATAAACTTAATTTAAACAAGTTTCTAATTACAAAACTCAATTATGTAACGTGAATGTGAACAAGTAACATAGTACAGGTACTATAACTATAGTATTTAAATTAACATGGCTAAAATGTGTGTGCTACTGTGTGCTAGTGGTAATGTGCTTGTTATAGAATGTAAGCAACCTAGGTTTGATCCTCAGCTCAGGTGAGAGTGTGGATTTGTTGATTTTTTTTTCCAGTGTAGAAAGTCGAATCGTTTGTTATTACATTATATATTTAAAATAGAATTAACATCATTCTCTGATAGTGTCTGATAATTTGTTAACTACACGCTTAATGTCGTGATTTTGAGAAAACATAAAATATCCACAATAAAATATGAATAAAAAATAACCTAATAATGGACACATATAGTTAGTAATACGGACATTACATCTATTTTCATGTGACTGCGTGAGTGTAATGCAGCGGATCATAATTTTATGTGCTTTGTAAACGTATAATTCATTGTGCTCTCTGCAGGTATTCATGAGATAATGTGTACATAAATATTACTCAATTCAGTGCACTGATTTAAATATTACTCAATGAACAGTTGTGAGATATGAAGTCGCAATTGCAGAGTTGCCAACTCTCACTCATTTACGAAGTCTCCAGCCAAAAAGCAAGACAATATCATGAGTGCTTGTGCTGTTTAATGCACTTAAGAGATGCTTTTCTCCAACACATAACTTACATTTTGCTCTTATTTTATATAATCTGTGAATATTATGTAAATATATTAAAAGTCATGCGCATGTTTCCAATTCGAAAAACAAATTGTCATAACAGCAACCGAGTCATTGTTAAACTTTAAAGATGTGCCTGCATGTGTGTCAAACAGACGGAGTGAAAGAGAGAAATGAGCGCAGTATGTTAGACTAAAATATGCATTTTGATCAAATTTATGCAAAGAATGGTATTTTTTTTATAAAACAGTAACTGTAATTCTACCACCTGTTAACACTTAGATTGCGCTTTATGAAAATGAACAGAAATGTACAGAAATGGAAAAACTCCCAAGCAAAGAATTCAGTGGATAAAGATGTGGAAAGACACGCACAGTGAACATAACTATAGCTCATGATAAGAGATGGTGGAAGGAGAAATTAGCTATTTAACTTTTTTCCAGAGTAAAATGTTTTCAATTAATACAATGCAAATATAGTTGCTGTGCAAAATACTTGCCATTTTGTTTACTATATTTTTAAAGTTCATAGTCCTCACTGAGTTTTCTTTTTTTATTCACATGTATTCTGAATTCATAATGTGTACATTGTTTAAAAATTACTCAACTCAATGAGTATTACCTAATTCAACTGAAATTGTTACCTATTTGA